AAAAAAAAAAAAAACAATTATATAAGATAATAACGTGAATTATTTAAAAAAGATTTGTTGCTCTCCAAAAAAAAAAAAAGAAAAAAAAAAGAGAAGGAGGAAAAAGATTATGCAAACGAAATGGACGCAGTTAATTCTTATTAAATTTAACATACGATCTCTCTAATAACAAATTTTCATTTAAGTAACAAACGATAAAATACTTTCGGATTGATTTATCAAACTAAATTGCCAATTGAATTAAATCGAGATAATCGAAGGAGAGATCGTTTCAAGAAACTATGCAATCCATCCCCGAGCCCTACGGAATTCGATTTATTTTCCAAAAGGCTTATATCGTTTGATCAAGGAAGAAGAATTTATGGACGATATATCTGTCAGTCGAATTCGGAGCACATTACTTTTGAAGGAAAAAAAAACAAAGAAAGAAAGAAAGAAAGAAAGAAAAAGTACTTTCTTTTGTAACATTTATCGTATTCATTCCTTCTACATCGAGACCTTAAATCGCGTGTCGTATAATCGAGTTAACACACGTTAGCACTTTATAAAATTCGATCTTACATGAGTTAATCATGAATGTCGTTGTTGCATTTAATCGTATCATTAAGAAACAGAGTATTGATTTATTCGTTTGAGATTTGACAATTCAACGAATTCCTACGATTCATTATTTTCTCGATGATTGATGACATTTTTATAGTGAAAGTAATAGTTGGCTACACATTTCTTTTTTCTTGCTCGACTAACAGAGAAGAAAAAAAGAAGAGATATAGAAATTTTCAAAAATTTAAAAATTAAAGATAAGAAAAAGGAAAGTTAGACAAACGTCACAATTGTTTTACATGAGAGAATGATAAAAAAAAATATATATGTATATACAAAATAAGAAATTCGACTAAAATAGAAAAATTAGAAAAATTAAGATATTATGATAGAAGACACGTTGAAAATAAGTGTAGAATATAGGAATAAAAATCAGTATAATATAAAAAGGTACATAAAGAATGGTATATCAAATTATAGATAGGTGTCGGCATTAAACCCAGGGGATACCTATGTATAAAATAATGTAGGAAAAGTGACCGATATGAAAGAAAGCGAGAGAGAGAGAGAGAGAGAGAGAGAGAGAGAGAGAGAGAGAGAGAGAGAGAGAGAAATAGAATAGCAAATATAGGAAGGAACGACAGTAAATTCGCATGAAAGAGACGTGCTTGCAAAGAGTAACACGTTCGTTCCCTTGAAGTCTGTAGTTTATGACAATATTTAATCCAGTTAGAGGGTGGAAAAGAAAAAGAAAAAGAAAAAGAATCAAAATCAAGGAGAATAAGAGGAAGGAGAAGAAAACGTCGAAGAATAAGAATAAGAATAAGATAAAGTAAAAATAAGATAAAGGAAAATATGGGGGATGGAAAAAGAAAGGGAATATAGAACGAACACAACACCTCGGAGTTGTTCGGTGTGTTTCGTTGTTCTCGTTTAGAAGTCGATGCGTTTCTACGATGCCCCGTCTTCGTTCGTTTCTACTAGTAATCCAGTTATGCTCGAGCTACCACAGTTTGCTTGCTAGCTGCATAGTTAGTTTGCCTAGCTAGCTATGTTTTAGTCCGATAATCGTTTCGACCGACTTATTCCGGACAGAAGAAGTGTGTATTCGACTATCTAGTCTTTTTGTATTTACTTTCTTTCTATTTTATCTTATTCATCGTTATTTTTCATAAAGAGATAATTAAAATGTGTCGCGAATGTTATTGTTGATTTATCTTATTTTGTTTTCCATGTTCAATGATCCAACCTGTGAGAATAAAAATTTCTTCTTCGTTATTTTTGTTGTTGTTAAGAAACGTTAATTTCTTCTTCTTATTCTTATTAAATTTCTTCTCTTATTCTGAAACAGTAAATAGGTATTTATTTTTCTTCGAAACTTTATAACAGGAAGGATTAACTTAGGAAAGATTACTGCGACCATGTTGAGAGAGTTTTCCATGTGAGATTTCTCGTAACGCTTATCACGAGCCTTGGCACGTAGCAAGTACTTACTAGGATACTCGTATATCACTCGACACAGTTCAACTCCGACAGACTCTTTTGTGACGTTCTTGGCAAACCGCTAAGAAATTCTTTACCTAACATCTCTTTTCGAGTAGTACCATATCCTTTTTTCTTTCTCGAAAAAGTTCACTTTTCCTTCCTTCCTCTTCTTTTTCTTTTCTTTTCTTTTTTCTCCCCTCCCCTCCCAACCCCTCTTATTAAATTCCTTTTAATGAGAAATGCAAAAAAAAAAAAAGAAAAGGAAACGAAAAGAAGGAATCCTTTATCTTGTTTCTCGTTTCTTTCATTCACGAGAACGTAATTACGAGTCGTATGAGTGGCCAAAAAAAAAAAGGGGTACTGAAAAAGAAGCGATTTCCTTTTTTTTTTTTTTTTTTTTTAGTGTACGACGAATAAGAGAAAGAAAAGATTTTTAACGAAATAATTTTTTTCCTTTAGAAAGAGATACTTTCGCAAAAGTTTGAGAAACACATTAATATTGGCTCGGATTTGATTTCCAACTTGGCGCAATACTCTCGACAAGAAATTTCTTTTTGCTATTTTTCGATAACACCATCCCCTTCAACGCTCCCCCCATCACCCTCCTAACCCTCAGCCCGTACTATTCCCATCCTTTTTCTCCGTTCGTTTCTCTCTATCATTTTTCTATCTTTTTATCTTCCCTTTTATTTTCTTCTTTTACTTGCTTTTTCTTTTTTTTTCTTTTTCATTCGAAGTCTTCGTAAACCATCGAATTTGGCACTTGAGTTTTCTATCTCTTTATTAGGGCGCAAGTCCTGGAAGCTTCCTTTTCTTTCGTTCCCATATTTGTGATCTTTCGGTATTCGAGATATTTGATTTTCCAAGAGAATTGACCTTCGTCTTCGATTATATCACGACTCGTGGTCGTTCTAGAATTTAATTATTCCCCGAGTGGATGGATAGTCATCGAGGAAGATTTCGAGGTTACGGACTATAGGACGAGGGAAAGGATTTCTTTTTTTCTTCATTTCTCTCATCCCCCCTCACCACAACCACCATCCTCATCCCTGTCGTTTATTCCTCCCTCGCCCCCTAATAAATTAAAAAATATCCAAGAACGAGAAGAAGAAGAAGAAGAAGAAGAAGAAGAAGAAGAAAGATATCGAAAATTCGAGAGAGTTCACAGTGAATATATTTTATTAAAAAATATAATAAGTGTATTATAATTCGATCATAAAAATTTGATCATAAAAAAACTATGTGTGAATCAGTGATCAATCTATACATCGAACATTTCAATCAAATTCAAAGGTATTATTAATTATTAATCACCGTGAGAGAAAAAGAAACAAGGTGTTTAAAATTATCTTTGATCATTGTTAAGCAACGTGTATTCGAACAATTTTGACAGAGTGATAAGAGAAGAGTTATGGAAAGAAATCGAGAGAAAAAACGGAAGGCACGCGAAGGGGACGACGAGGCAGAAAAATCCTCGAGAAGATGTCTTCCTTGAAAAATAAAGAAAATATATATATAATATAATATTATATTCATATTAGAGAATTTCTCGCGTGACTTTATTAACTTCTGTTAAAAGACGTAAACACGAAAAATTACCGGCGTCCCCGATCCTTCCAAAAAAAAAAAAAAAAAATAATAAAAAGATATAAAATAAATGAAAAATTAAAAAAAAAACAAGAATCTTCGAAAAGCAAAAGAAAATCGGACGAACAATTGTTTAATTGATTTTCGTCGTTTTTCTTCTTGGAGGGGGGCTGGGAGGGAGGAAGGAGGAGGAGGAGGAGGTCAACGAACGCTCAAAAAAATATTTTCTGTTTTTTCTTTTGTATATCAGTGAAATCGTCAGTCGTAAAACGAGAAAGAAAGTTAAGTGTGGTGAAACGAAAACGTCTGTCGTTTTAATAAAAAGACAACGATTACGATAGACAAAAGTTTTATTTCGCGAAAATATTATAATATGGTTTTTTAAAAGAAGATATTCAAGAAATTGGAATTACACGTCGCAAGAGAAGAAAAATTATGCAAATTGTGTGGGTGTGCGCGTGTGTATACGTGTTAGTAGTGTGCGTTCGATAAGAAGAAAAAAGAAAATCTTGGAGAAACTTAAAAAAAAGGTGGAAATCAAGGAACAATAGTGGTGTGGATGAACGGGTTTAAGATGAAATGATATCAAGTAGTCCTTTACTTTCTGTTTGTGAACAGTGAACGAAGGATATAAAAAAGTGAGCGAGAACGAGACGAAAAAATTCACACGTACATATGTATATATATATATATATTTATATATTACATATATAATATGTATATGTATCTATATATATAGAAACATATGTAACGCACGTATCACATATATCTATATATACGTATATGTATAAGAACGAAGAAAGATAACTCGAGAAAAGAGAAGAATATTTCAAGGACCGAAGGACTTCGATTTTTCTTTTCTTTTCTTTTCTTTTCTTTTCTTTCCTTTCCTTTACTTTTTTTTATTTCAACTATATATCTTCCTCTATCTCTCTTTTTCTTTTTTTTCCTATCCACCTATCCATCCATTCATTCAACCATTTCTTCACACATTGACGTTTATTTTCTTCCCGTTGAGAAACTTTTTCGTACAATTTTTCTGTTCAAAAACGCAAAAAGGTGATTTTCATTCGTTCTACTATCGTTACGATTACATACCTTTTTGATAAGGAAAAATAAAAGAAAGAAAGAAAGAAAGGAAGAAAGAAAGGAAAGAAAAATAAAACAATGTGAATCGAAGAATGATGAGTTATCCTGACACGAGTTATGCCGTAAGGAGGAGACTCTTTATCAGGAACAGAAAGAAATGAAGTTATCAGTGTCGGCTTACAGAGCTCAGGCCAGTGCTCATAAAAAAATCCTTTGCAATTATCAACAACAACTTAGTTACGGTGCTACAAATCAGGCATCCTCGAACCGGACCCCCTCGGACCCCGCTGCGGTCCTGTCTGGCCTCAAGGTGAGCTTCTTTTACAAAAATTTCTTCTTCTTCTTCTTCTTTTTATTTTATTACTTTGTTACGATATTACGTTCTCGCAAAATGTTCATTGAATTTAACTATAAATAATGCAACGATTTTAAAAAATCATTATATAATATTTATACAAAAATAATAAACACACATAATATACGTGTTCGATCAGAATTCCCTTGGACACGTTCATCTCGAAATTGTCTCGATTATACAATTATTAATAATCGAATAGAGAATCTGTTTCAAACGACGACACGTTTAAATTTAATTGATCAAAACGTTTCTTTCTTTTTTTCTATGGATGCAGCTCTGAATGTACCAATTAGGAGTGCGCGCGATCTTAGAAAATGTCACAAAGACAGCCAGTGGTTCGTATATCGCTCCCCGTAAGTGTCAAAAATGCCCAATTTCGAAGTGTCCAAAAAGTTTGTTTAACGTTTTTCATTTTCCTTTTTCTTTTTCTTTTTCTTTTGTGTCAATCTATTGATATTACGGTGCAAGCTTTGATTAATTAGAAATCTTTCATTTTTCTTTATTATCGCATCCCCCMCTCTTCTTTCCCCCCCCCCCATCGTTATTTACAAATTAGTGTTGGGATTTTGTTATTATTACAAAAGAATTAATATAATTCATTTATTTCTAATGTGGTTATATCAATAATTACGATTTAATAGCACGTATTTTGTTAGAATTTTTTTTCTTCTTTTTTTTTGTATTTATTCTCGAATGGCTCGATGATATATGCAACAGACCCACCCGATCGATGTATTATTTATATACTAATAAATATCCTTTTTATAATTGTATTTTATTTTATAAATATTATTACGAGAATGGTATGATTTTCGTACTTTTCCTTTTTCTTATTTTTCTCTTTGTTTTTTTCCTTTTTTATTATAATACATATATGTATTTATATTGATCTCTGTCTCGTTCGAATGAAAAATCTTAATGGATATATCATAATTAGTTCGTTGTTTCCTCTTGAATTAATATATTCTTATCTTTTGATCTTTACTCGACGATTTAAAATATATTTCATTTGTTAATAAGATTCGTGGGGCACGTTTATAATATATTATACGTATAATAATATATTGGTGTGCGTAAAAAATTTGTTTTTCATATTTTAATGACGATTAAATGTGGTGTAACAAATTATTTTCATATTTTCAATGTAATCTTGTTCAAACTATTTCAAAATGTTTTTCTAATCGATGTTTAGTTTCCCTTATTTTACGATATCATGACTGTTATAATGTTCTAATTTTATTCAATTTTTTTGACTAGAATATAGTGCATCTTTGATATAAAAAAAAAACAATTTTGATTCACTCGTACCGATATCTCACGTTATGTCAAGAAATATTACAAAATTTTTAGCAACCTGAATGTTCATATTCTTGCTTTTTCTTTCTTCTTTCTTTTTTAATAAAATGTTCAAACGCATCGCAATTTCTTCTTTTTTATTTTTACTCATTTCCAAGACGCAATAACTTTTGACAGAATCAACGAAGAATATAAAAACTTTTTTATTTTTTTTTTTCCAATCTTTTTATTTATATAAAATGTGAGCTTTCAAACACATGCCAGAAGGCATGATCCCTTTAATATAAACAATGTTACGCGATTCTAAAGATATTTGCAATGAAAATACTAAGAAACTTTTCAATTCAATATAAACGTGTATAATAAGTTACAGAATTGTATTCGTACAATCATTAATATATTTTAAACAATTGATATTTGTTTATAATGCAATATTTCCGAATTTTTATAAAAAAAAAAAGAAAAAACATTATTTAGAATTATTCGCGATTTTGAAATTGACTTAAATTCTATTATAAAAATAATATTTTTTATGTTAAGAATAATATAATTTAATATAAATGAGATAAAATTGGTCTAACATAAATATATTATTGAATCGTCTAGAAAACATTATATAAAAATGGAAATAAAAACCAAGCAAGTATTACTTGCAAAAATATTAATCTGTTCGTTACTAGCGACCTATATACCAGCCATCAACCATGCAAATACCCCGTATGAACGATTGATCCATATATGGGGTCGTACCATGCTACGATACGTGCATAGAAATGAGTTTACAATATATGGTAATTATATTCGCATAAAAGCATATTTCAACGAAAAACGGGTTAATTATATTTTTATTAAATACAAATACTCGTGTATGTTCAATTTTGCTATATCATTTATGACAAATAATATTTCTCTAACAATAAAATATTTCATTTCGTAATCACACACATATATTATATATATATATAAGCTTGAAAATGTATTCATTCTAAAATATATTTATGTATATTACAATTGTAAAACTTTGCATTACGATATTACATATAAATATTAATTGTTTAAAATTAACAGTGAAAACGATTACGATTTTTTCTTTGGCGTACTGATTTATAAATATTATATATATATATGTTTATATAAATGTTCGTAATCTATTAAAAAAAATATTGAATTGGAAGATATTAAATCCGAAATATCGCAACATCGGACATTTCGATTAATTACGACACTTAGCGTGTCTCGATCAACATTTAATCCGAAAATGTTTTAAGGTAATGGCATCTATAATTTCATTCCATGAAATGATATTAATGGATATACCTATTCGTCGTGTAGGTTGATCTATCGATCAAATTTCGTACGTTAATATATATATATATATATTTAGTACATCAAATCAATGGTTTCCTCACTCGAAATAGAAAAATGATGAACATAGGATGAATATATATATATATGTTTGGTTATTTCGGGAAAAAGTTTTGTTTGAAAATTTTGCAAAACTCTTTTCTACCAACTTTCTTTCTTCGTCCTATTCTTCTTTTTCTTATTCTTTTTTTTCTTCTTCGTTTATTCTATTCTCGAAAAAGAGAAGAAAGTTTCATGATACGATCCATTACCATTGGGGTAAAACTTTGATATCATTCCTGTTACTAAACTCAAAAATTTGTATTTTTGACCTGAAAGATAAGGTATACTTTTTAAACTCAGTCATGACGTCCAAATAAACTTTACAATAAGATTGCTTGCTTGCTTGCTTGTATATCTTTTTCAAAGTTATACCTATACTTATGATTGTTTAAATATTTCAATAATATCAAATAAATTGGTTCTTCTGTCCTGTTACCATTAGTGACAAACACGTGAAACGCGGTTAAACAAATATTGTCGGCTTATACGAAATTGTCGTAGGATCGATTTTTACGACGTTTCGTTTTATCTAAGAACAAATTGTCACATTCAAATATTTGACGATAAATATCTTTATCAAATTCGTCAATTATTATTTGTTTATTTTTTCTTTTTTTTTTTCTTTTTTTTTCGATTTAACGAAACATCCAATTATATATATATATATTATAATAAAATTGTAACAATGATATTTATTTTCTCAAATTTTGTCATTACACTTCTCAAAATCGATTTTCATTGATAGCAGATAGATTTAATTTCATTTAATAGAAAAGAATAAAAAAACGTTTAATACACTTCTCAAAAGGGCCCTTTAAAATAATAAAATGTCGTTAAAAAAGTTCTTCAAATATTGCGAGAAAAAAAAGTGTTGGAAGATGAACATATAGAAACTAAGGCCATTAAATGACCTGTTTAGTGACCCTCAATTATTTTTGATTGGTACGAACACTCTGAAACGAAGTGTTCCTTTGGAACAAGTTATTATACTTCGGATGACATGATCGATACTACTTTAATTAGGCGTCTATGTTACCACGTCGAAGACGACGTATATGACACCTTCATTAATTAAGATATTCATTCTCACGCGAAGGGGAGAGTGTAGCTTTTTCTTTATTATAATTTCTCCTTTTCTTATGTTGTCACATTAGAAATTCTAATTTATAATAATATATTCAATGAAAGATAATTAATCTTGATCTAAATATATTTATTAGATGTAAATTTATCCTGTAACATGTATACACATATACACATATATAAAATATTTATTAAACATATTTTTTCTTATATATTTATTATATTATTAATATATATACAAATTTAATTAATTAATATACAAATTTCAATAGTTTATTTCAAATAGGATAACAACAACGTGGTTTGAAAAAAAAACAATCACGAGTATTTTGTTTTATCAATGGACATTAAAAAGTATCCAATTATTTTGATTAAAAATCTTTGTAGTTTAGATATGAGTGCATAATAATAATAATAATAATAAATCAGAGTAAAAGATAGAATAAGATTAAATGCATAATTTTCAGGATTAAGTCGTTATTAAAAGGATCCTTCGTAGCTGATTCATTTGGATAGTCTCGTTTATTATCGAAAAGTGTTCTTCCCTTCTATGAATATCGAACAGCAAGTTTTTCTAATCGATTATCGTAAAACCCCGGGGAGTATTATTTTTGTTTCTTGTTATCCAATAACTTCTTTTTAATTTACTATGTAACAACTTAGTCCCAATTATTCGTCGATTATTTTCATTGACATCTATCATGTTGATCCGTGTTACTTTTAACGTTGATCCGATAATACATCTATTTTTTCTTGTTGTTGTTGTTTTCGTATTTCGATCATTCCTTTTCGCATTCAACCCTCACGTAGTACTCGGAAACTTATAATTGCATTTTGAGAAAACGAAAAAAAAAAAATAAAATGACAAAAATGAAACAAAAGTTTTCCCTCGCACGTGACGATAAAATAAAATAAAGAAAAAGAAAAAAAAAAAAGAAAGGAAACAAGAAGAAGGAGAACAAAAAATAGCGTGTCAAGGTTGGATGATTTATCGATTGCGTTAGATTTTTCATGGCCGACATGTATTAATAGCAAAACTCTCGAGTATATAAAAAAAAATATTAAACATGGGGAAATATTCATATTATCATTTTTTTTTTTTTTTTACCTAAGTTCCTTTAATCGAGATACGAAGACAAAACAAAGTTGTATTATAGTTCGTGTTTTAAAATTATGTATATAAAAGAAGGTTGATATGGATAATATTTAAAATTGATCGTTTTCTATCAATAATATATAAATGTATATGTATATATATTTGTGTCATATAAATTAATGAAAAAAAATAAACGAGTAATTTTTTTTTTTACTTTTTATCATATCCAATATTTCCCATAGCAAAGATACAATATGTATACACACACATCTATATATATATATATATATATATATATATATATATGTAAAATACGAACACGATATAAATATTTTCATTCAATTAATTCGATAATTAATTTTATCGAGAATTATTCGTAGAAATTCAATTGAAGGATACTCCTATAATTTCGTTCTCTTAATACAATACACACATACACACACATATATATATATACGAAATAGATTATCGGAAGAG